GGGAGGAGAAGAGAGGGTGGAGGAGGAAGAGGGAGAAAGGTAGGAGGAGAAGGAGGTAGGAGGAGGAAGAAAAGTGAAAGGGCAGGGGAGGAGATGAGGGAGGAGGATGGAAGAGGGGAAACAGGCCATAGATATAAAGAGGATGGAAAGGTAGAGGAGAAGAGAGGAGGAGGGAAGAGGAAAGGGGTGGGAGAGAAGAGAGGTGGGAGGAGGAAGAGGGGAGAAAGGGGTGGGGGAGAAGAGAGGGGTAGGGAGGAGGAAGAGGGAGGAAAGGGGGAGGAGAAGAGAGGGTAGAGGAGGGAAGAGGAAGAAAGTAGAGGAGAAGAGGGTAGAGGAGGGAAGAGGGGAGGAAAGGGTAGGGGAGGAGAAGAGAGGTAGGAGGAGGAAGAGGGAGGAAGGGGGGAGGAGAAGAGAGGGTAGGAGGAGGAAGAGGAGGAAAGGTAGGAGGAGAAGAGGAAAGAGGAGGAAGAGGTGAAAGGGTAGGGGAGGAGAAGGGAGGCAGGAGGAGCAAGGAGGAAGAAAGGGTAGGGAGGAGAAGAGGCAGAGTGATGAAGAGGATGGAAATGGGCAGATGGAGAAGAGAGCAGATGATGAAGAGGAAGAAAGGGGTAGAGAAGAGAGGGTAGGAGGAGGGAAAGGGAGGAAAAGGTAGGAGGAGAAGAGGGTAGAGGAGGGAAGAGGGAAGGGGGAGGAGAAGAGAGGGTAGGAGGAGGAAGAAGAAAGTGTAGGAGGAGAAGAGAGGCAGGGAGGAGGGAAGAGGGGAGGAAGGTAGGGGAGGAGAAGAGAGGTAGGGAGGAGGAAGAGGGAAGAAAGGTAGGAGGAGAAGAGAGGTAGGAGGAGGAAGAGGAGGGGAGGAAAGAGAGGGGTAGGAGGAGGAAGAGGAGGAAAAGGTAGGAGGAGAAGAGAGGTAGGAGGAGGAAGAGGGAAGAAAGGTAGGGGAGGAGAAGAGAGGGTGCAGGAGGATGGGAGGAGGAAAGGTAGGGAGGAGAAGAGAGGAGAGGGAGTGGAGGAAGAGGAGTGAGCGGTAGATGAAGGAGGCAGATGATGAAAGGAGATGAAAGGGACAAGAGAGGGGTAGGAGGAGAGGAAAGGGAGAGAAGAGGTAGAGGAAGAGGAGGAAAGGGAGGAGAGGTAGGAGGAGGAAGAGGGGAGGAAAGGGGTAGGGGAGAGAAGAGAGGAGGAAGAGGTAGAAAGGGGTAGGAGGAGAAGAGAGGTAGGAGGAGGAAGAGTAAGAAAAGGTGGGAGGAAGGGAGGAGGAAGAGGAGGAAAGGGGGAGGAGAAGAGAGGTAGGAGGAAGAGGAGGAAAGGTAGGAGGAGAAGAGGAGGCAGGAGGCGAAGAGGAAGAAAGGCAGGAGGAGAAGAGAGGGCAGGCGATAAGAGGATGAGAGAGGTGATAAGAGGGAGGAAAGGAGAGAAGAGAGGGCAGGAGGAGTGAAGAGGAGGAAAGGGGGAGGAAGAGAGGGGTAGGGAGGAGAAGAAGAAAGGTAGGGGAGGAGAAGAGAGGTAGGAGGAGAAGAGGAAAGGGGGGAGAGAAGAGAGGGAGGAGGAAGAGGAAGAAAGGGGGGAGGAGAAGAGAGGGGAGGAGGAAGAGGAAGAAAGGGGGAGAGAAGAGAGGTAGGAGTGAAGGTAGGGAAAGGGTAGGGGGAGGAGAAGAGAGGGTAGGAGGAGGGAAGAGGGGAGGTGGGGGTAGGGAGAGAAGAGAGGGTGGAGGAGGAAGAGGGAAAGGGGAGGAGAAGAGAGGGTAGGAGGAAGAGGGGAGGAAAGGGTAGGGGAGGAGAAGAGAGGGTAGGATGAGGAAGAGGGTAGGAAAGGGTAGGGGAGGAGAAGAGAGGGTAGGAGGAGGAAGAGGGGAGGAAAGGGGAGGAGAAGAGAGGGTAGGAGGAGGAAGAGGGGAGGAAAGGGTAGGGGAGGAGAAGAGAGGGTAGGAGGAGGAAGAGGGGAGGAAAGGGTAGGGAAGGAAAGAGGGGAGGAGAGGAGATCTAAGACTCAGGGCATCAGGTCATCTAAGACTCAGCCTCGGAGTCTTAAGACGGAGTGCGACAACAGTTTACGAGAAGATAAAATGACGAGATGAAAGACGTGGTGTGGTATCTCTACTGTGTGTACGTATATGTGTACACCAGGGTCCTTGTGTGTACGTATATGTGTACACCCAGGGTCCTTGTGTGTACGTATATGTGTACACCCAGGGTCCTTGTATTTTGTGTACGTATATCTGTACACCCAAGGTCCTTGTATTGTGTGTACGTTTATGTGTACACGTCGGGTCCTTGTATTGTGTGTACGTTTATGTGCACACCCTGGGTCCTTGTGTGTACGTTTATGTGCACACCCAGGGTTCTTGTGTGTACGTTTATGTGTACACCCAGGGTCCTTGTATTGTGTGTATGTATATGTGTACACCCAAGGTCCTTGTATCGTATGTACGTTTTTGTGTACACCTAGGATCCTTGTGTGTACTTATATGTGTACATCCAGGTTCATTATTCTGTGTGTATGTATATGTATACACTCAGGGTCCGTCCTTAGTGTGAAGGTACACACATAGCTTACCCCCTCCCTCACATGATAGGCTCACAAGGTGACAACAATAGACAGGTGGGAAAGGTTAATTAGACGTCCCCAGGTGATAATGTGTCAACGTGTCTCCACCAACGTGTCAACTCTGCGGCCATACAAATTATCATTGATTCTACAGACTACCAGCTGTATGTGTATGCCGATAGTGGTTGTGGTTGAGGAGGTAGTTGTGGTTGAGGTAGTTGTGGTAGTTGAGGATTGTTTGTATTGCTGGTAGTTGTGGTGGTTGAAGGTGGTTATGGAGTTGGTTGTAGTAGGGTGGTTGTGTGAAGCTGGATGAGGGTTGATGTGGTGATAGTAATGCTTGGTTGTGGTGGTAGTGGTTGTGGTGGTAACTGAGGTGTTGTGATGATGGTGATGGTAGTGGTGGTGGTGGTTAAAGATTATGGATATTAGGATAGAAATGTATGTATACAAAACTTGACACACACACACACACACACACACACACACACATCAACATGCAGTGGGATTTGCGAATAGTTTGTTCAGGTGGTGCGTGTGGGAAGTGTGTACCACAGAGAGAGAGAGATAGAGAGAGAGAGAGAGAGAGAGAGAGAGAGAGAGAGAGAGAGAGAGAGAGAGAGAGAACCAATTTCCACTATAAGCCTCAGGTGGAAGAAAGGTCCAACACTCAATTCCAGGAACAGCAAGCATTGAGCTAACTGACTCACTTGACCAAAACAAACAAACAACTTTGCTCTAGTAACAAAGACATCTCCCGCGAATTAATCTAATGGGTTGGAGTGGCTGAGTAGATACTGTACTCATCTTGTCTCCTAAGGGTCGTTGGTTCGATTTCTAGAGACTTGCTTTTTTTTTCATTGTGGTATGTATGGGGTGCCTAAGTGATGTTCAAGGCTATGGTACACTTAGGGTTATGGTACACTCAGGGTTATGGAACACTCAGGGTTATGGTACACTCAGGGTTATGGTACACTCAGGGTTATGGTACACTCAGGGTTATGGTACACTCAGGGTTATGGTACACTCAAGGTTATGGTACACTCAGGGTTATGGAACACTCAGGGTTATGGAACACTCAGGGTTATGATACACTCAGGGTTATGGAACACTCAAGTTACTCAGGCCACACTCAGGGTTATGGACACTCCAGGGTTATGGAACACTCAGGGTTATGGTACCTCCAAAAAAATTTATGGTACACTCAAGGTTATGGTACACTCAGGGGTTATGGAACACTCAGGGTTATGGTACACTCAGGGTTATGGTACACTCAGGGTTATAGGTACACAGGGTTATAAGGCCCTTAGGTTATGGTACACTCAGGGTTATGATACACTCAGGGTTATGGGTACTCAGGTTATAGTACACTCAGGGTTATGATACACTCAGGGTGTAAGTACACTCAGGGTTATGGTACCTCAGGGTTATGATACCTCCATGGTACACCAGGGTTATGGTACACTCAGGGTTATGGTACACCAGGGTTATGGTACACTCAGGGTTATGGTACACTCAGGGTTATGGTACACTCATGGTTATAGGTACACCCAGGGTTATGGTACTCTCCATGGTACACTCAGGGTTATGGTACACTCAGGGTTATGGTACACCCAGGGTTATGGTACACTCAGGGTTATGGTACACTCAGGGTTATGGTACACTCAGGGTTATGGTACACTCAGGGTTATGGTACACTCAGGGTTATGGTACACTGAAGGCACAAGTGGTACAATCGCAGAATAATTAACGCAACAGACGAATGAATAAAATAGTTATTAATGGCGAATAATAATAATAATAATAATAATAATAATAATAATAATAATAATAATAATAATAATAATAATAAAAGGCAACAATAGTAAACACATCACATATATTACACAACAAAAGACTCACCTTTTTTTTTAATTTACGAATTATAATAATAAAAAATATTAAAAAAAAGTTAGATTTTGGTAACATTAACAATAGACGAAGAAAAACCGATTTCCCTCTCCCTCCAAACTATAAAAAAGGTCAAATGAACAAAAAAAATAAAACCAATGATTATAAACAAAATAAACAATTAAAAGGAAAACAAAGAAACAATAAATGATGCAAATAAACAATAGATAATTAGACGGCACGGTATAATGGGACCACCTGAAGATTAGACACTCAAATTTATAACTTATTTCACCTTAAAGTTATCTGGAGGGAGAAGGGGGGGTTAGATTAAGTTGGTTTGGGTTGGGTTAGGTTAGGTTAGGTTAGGTTAGAATTAGGTTAGGTGAGGTTAGGATAAGATATCATTAAGGAATAAGTTAATCCTCAGATGAACTAAACTGGGGGGGGGGGTCTAATCCTCAGGTGAGCTATATCAACAAACAATAAAACACAAGTTAGAAGAATAAACAGATAAATAGCACAGATGATGATAAACAGATAAAAAAGAGACGCAGAATGAGGCGCTAAAGGTCATACTCACGGCTCTTGGACCGGGGTTCCCTGGGGCCGTCCACTGTCACCTTGATGGCTTTAGTGTATGTGGCGACCTGAGGTGGTGACGTGCTGATGGTGATGGTCAGCAGGAAGCTCTTGCCTGTGGGGATAGTGAGTGATGGTGAGGGGTACTGGTGGTGAGGTATAGTGGTGGTGTGGGATAGTGAGGGTGAGGGGTAGTAGTGGTGAGGGATAGTAATGGTGAAGTGACTCAAATAGTGAAGTGCATTATAGTGACACAGGATCAATCACCACAGGAAGTACCAACAGAACTTCATTTAATTCACTATACGCATCAACAGAGGTCACACAGGTAAGGTCAACAGGTGTTAATTAACGATACAACCAACATTCCTCACCACACTGTTTACATCTTGTTACATAATCTTATAGAAAAACGTAGCTACAAAACTACATTATCTATTCCTACATATGTTTAAGCTCTGAACCAGAATTACTGTAGGTTCCCCTGTAAGATTAGCGCCTCTCTCCCAGCTTATTTCACCTGAAGATTGAACACCCTGACGCTAATTAGGGCGAATTAGGTCAGGTAAAATTAGGTTGGGTTAATGGTGAAAAAGTTAAAGGTTAGGTTAGGTTTAGTTTGGTTAGGTTAGGTTAAGGTAGGAATTTAAGTTATATTAGCGGTATATTTGGTTAGGTTAGGGTAAGATAAATTAGGTTAGGTTAGAATAAGGCAGGATAGATTAGGTTAAGATGGCGTTAGGTTAAGTTAGGCTGGAACAATTTACATGGTTAAGAACCACACCTGATAATGAAAATAATTAAAAAAAATACCGAACCTTCTAAAATAACAAAATATAACCTTTATAAATATTAAATATCACATTTTAAAATAAATTACTTAAATATACATTTTTTATTGTTGATGTTGATATTCCTAAATACATCTGATATCATTGTTTACATTTTGAGCGCTTGGGTTTACACTTGACTAAGGCGGAATGACTGGGGCGTTGGTTCTATATGAGGATGTGACGGCGCGTTCAGAAATATAATAATCCTTAGAAAAACTGACGCAAGGAAATGGCGAAGAGAGTGTGAGTGTGACGCCGTCTTTAGGGTGGCTAATCATCAGGTGCGAGACCAACTTGAAGGCTATTGTATATCCAAGATGGTTCATTTTACTGCCACTGTGAACTTTGAACTATGACGGAGCATGAAGTCAACGACAAGAGAAAGATGTGAGAGAGAGAGAGAGAGAGAGGGAGGGGGGAGGGAGGTACATATCTACACTGGTATTACGAGGCCAACATGCTGTGTACAGAGGAGGTGGCTCCACTTAGCACCTTCGCTGCCGAACAGTGTCAAGTTGCGTCGGAAATTTTGGCGGGGAAAGATCTAAAAGGCATATTTACAAACTGGCAACTTCCCACTGGGCACGTTGCCATTAAGTTACTTTATTTTTGTTTTATTTCGTTCTAGGAAATAAAGTAATGTTTCTGAAGAGATTTTATACGTGACTTAATATTCTTGAGTAAACCCAACGACAGAAAACCTCACGCATTCCACATCAGTTTAATAGAGAACAAACAGAGTGAAAAACCTGTGTAATTTAACATAAAGTTAGTTCAAGTTAAACAAATTTTAACACCGGGTCTTTTACTTGGCATCTGGCATTACGTCATAGCAGCTGGCCCCCACGTGACCTTAGTGCCTGTGTGACCTTACTGTGACCTTGACCTTATAAAATGACCTTAGCTCTCTGACTTTTATAACCTTGAACTATGAGATATAACCGAGGGACGAATGTGGTGTACTTAAATTGTTGTCATGATGATGTGTTTGTTGTCATGATGATGTGTTTGTTGTCATTATGATGTGTTTGTTGTCATGATGATGTGTTTGTTGTCATGATGATGTGTTTGTTGTCATGATGATGTGTTTGTTGTCATGATGATGTGTTTGTTGTCATGATGATGTGTTTGTTGTCATGATGATGTGTTTGTTGCCATTATGATATGTTTGTTGTCATGATGATGTGTTTGTTGTCATGATGATGTGTTTGTTGTCATGATGATGTGTTTGTTGTCATGATGATGTGTTTGTTGCCATTATGATGTGTTTGTTGTAATGATGATGTATTTGTTGTCATGATGATGTGTTTGTTGTCATGATGATGTGTTTGTTATCATCATGATGTGTTTGTTGCCATTATGATGTGTTTGTTGTCATGATGATGTATTTGTTGTCATCATGATGTGTTTGTTGTCATGATGATGTGTTTGTTATCATTATGATGTGTTTGTTGCCATTATGATGTGATACCATGATACTCGTATATTACCATACTTAAATTAACTACATTCGACTGACTGGACTACAGTTAACGTGACCTAACCTAACCTAACCTAACTAACATACTGATTAGACTAGACATGATCTAATTGACTAACTGACTAGACTAGACTTGACCTAACTAATTAACTAGATTAGACTTGACTTAACCTAACTGACGAGACTTAACTTGACCTGACTAACCTCTGCCTGACCTCCCGACAAAGCGGAGATCATTAAACTTGGCCACTTGGTTCTTCATGACGGCAGAGTTGTTACGGATCTCGGCACAGCAGTTCTCATCGTTACCAGCTCTGATGGTGACCAGTGTGCCGTCCTGTACCGCCCCTAATGCCACCACTCTGTAACGGATGGTGTTACAGGTATAGTGTATGTCGGTATTACATGTACAAGACACAGGTGTTACAGGTATAGTGTATGTTGGTATTACAGGTACAAGATACAGGTGTTACAGTTATAGTGTATGTTGGTATTACAGGTACAAGATACAGGTGTTACAGTTATAGTGTATGTTGGTATTACAGGTACAAGATACAGGTGTTACAGGTATAGTGTATGTTGGTATTACAGGTATAGCATTACAGTCATTTTTGAAGTCATTTTATAAAGGTACCAGCTAGAGTATAAGCTGGAGAACATAGAGTTTACAGGTACAATAATAAATGTGTCTGGTAGTGGTGATGTACCATGCTGTTACTACCAGTGGCGACTCTTACCAACAAACACACTCACACATATAATAGATTTGGCCTGTGTGCTCGAGGCTGGCCGGACCCTAATGCCACCCTAGGCGTGGTTGTTTAAGGTGTAGAAGCTGTCGCCAACAACAACCACACCCTGAGTTAACGAGCTGCATGACTCAGTGTCCAGAAATCAATATTCGAGAAGACGGACAACTCACCAACTGCACTGGCTAACCGTACCCTGGAACACGATCCACCGTCGATTAACATCAGATCTGAGTACTGGGTGAACAGAGGCAAATGGCATAAAGAAACGCATAGTTTCACCCTGCCCGGGATCGAACCGGGTCCACACATTTATTCACAAATACACTATTACCGACTATCACGCAGAAATAACCCCACCTTCATCCACTCATACCCACCCCCAAGCCACGCCCACCTACGTGTGTGTGTGTGTGTGTGTGTGGCGTGATGACACTCTGGTAGTAAGTAAATAAGTAGACGAAAAATAAAAAATAAAGGAGAGAAAAAAAATAAGAGATATATAATCCCAAGGAGGCGGAAGAAGCAGAAGAGGAAGAGAAGAAGAAGAAGAAGGAGGAAGAATGAAACAGGAGGTGTATAAAACAATAGAGGAAAGACACAAAGAAATAAAAAAAGAAGAAACAAAGATGAGAAGAAACTGAAAGAAAGAAGAGAAAGAAATAGAAGACAGGAAAGAACAAAAAAACGAAAGAAAACAAAAATAAATAAATGAATAAAAAGATTCAGAAATAAAAAAAAATAAAAAAATAGAAAAAGAAACCGAACAACAAAAACAAAAACACACAACAAACAGCAACAACAACATAAACAAATTAAAAAACAACAATAAAGTAAAAAAAACAATACCAAGAAGAAATTAAAGAACACGACAGAAATTAATAAATGAAATGAGAAATATTTAGAGAAATGAACAAAAATGGAATAAAAAACAACAAAGAAAAAGTCAACAAAAACATAAAATAAAAAAAATAAATCAGGGTTGGAGCAATTACCGCGGAGCACCTGTTATTACCTGGGGCCAAACTCCAGTAAACATGGTAGTTATTCACTTTAACAGAAAACAGGGACTAGGTAGTGAATCACCGTAATGTAGCCAGACTGACACTCTATCTAGCTGAAACACGGATCTAGACTGTCACCACAATGTTGGTAGACTGTAACGTGTAGAATGTCACGTGTAGACTGTCACGATAATGTAGGTAGACTGTCACGTGTAGACTGTCACGATAATGTTGGTAGACTGTCACGTGTAGACTGTCACGATAATGTTGGTAGACTGTCACGTGTAGACTGTCACGATAATGTAGGTAGACTGTCACGTGAAGACAGTCACGATAATGTAGGTAGACTGTCACGATAATGTAGGTAGACTGTCACGTGTAGAGTGTCACGATAATGTAGGTAGACTGTCACGATAATGTAGGTAGACTGTCACGTGTAGACTGTCACGATAATGTAGGTAGACTGTCACGTGAAGACTGTCACGATAATGCAGGTAGACTGTCACGTGTAGACTGTCACGATAATGTAGGTAGACTGTCACTTGAAGACTGTCACGATATTATGTATGTGAACTATAGATCCATGTCGAGGATACTTGTGTGGGGGAAAAAAGTGATGACAGTGTTGGTTAGGTTAGCTTAGGATAGGTTAGGTTAGGATAGGATAGGCTAGGTTAGTCAACAGAATCATGGAATACAGGTAAAAAATCTTACACTACACCTGTCGTTAATTAATCACTCGACCGAAACTATTAATCTTGTACAAAATATTGGATTAAGCACATTTATTTGATTAGTCTATCTTTTATTTTATTCTTTTATTTATTTGTTTTTCGTGAAGAGACAGACTACCTCTGTTAACAACGAGCTATCTACGTAAATCCTCGTACCCGTGAATTGCAGACTTTCCACTTCAACACATTCTCCGAACCTCAATAGGATTGCACACTTGAAACTCTAGCCATTGGACCTGAAGAGACCTGTGCACTTGAAACTTAAGCCATTGGACCTGAAGAGACCTGCACACTTGAAACTTAAGCCATCGGACCTGACGGGACCTGAAAAAAAAGCGAACTGTCTGCCTAAACGAATCTTCAAACACAAAACCCGACGGAACGAACCCACGGTAGCAGCTCGTCCGGGTACAACTAAGTAACTCAAATGCACTGAACGGTAAGAGGCGGACCCTTATATATAGCCAATCCTTGATCTTACGGCACCATGGTCTTTAAAGGTAACTAGCTATTGATTAAGGGACACCAAGTTAATTATTGTCATTGTTCAACGTTATAGGTCTACCCTATAAATATCGCCAGTAGTTGCCATTTTCGCTCTAATCATCGTTAAGGCTTAAAGACTGTATAAGAATCTAACCTAAGAATATCGCCAGTGTTGAAAGTTAAGGGTCTAACATAAGAATATCGCCAGTGTTCAAAGTTAAGGGTCTAACCTAAGAATATCGCCAGTGTTCAAAGTTAAGGGTCTAACCTAAGAATATCGCCAGTGTTCAAAGTTAAGGGTCTAACCTAAGAATATCGCCAGTGTTCAAAGTTATGGGTCTAACCTAAGAATATCGCCAGTGTTCAAAGTTAAGGGTCTAACCTAGGAATATCGCCAGTGTTCAAAGTTAAGGGTCTAACCTAAGAATATCGCCAGTGTTCAAAGTTAAGGGTCTAACCTAAGAATATCGCCAGTGTTCAAAGTTAAGGGTCTAACCTAAGAATATCGCCAGTGTTCAAAGTTAAGGGTCTAACCTAAGAATATCGCCAGTGTTCAAAGTTAAGGGTCTAACCTAAGAATATCGCCAATGTTCAAAGTTAAGGGTCTAACCTAAGAATATCGCCAGTGTTCAAAGTTAAGGGTCTAACCTAAGAATATCGCCAGTGTTCAAAGTTAAGGGTCCAACCTAAGAATATCGCCAGTGTTGAAAGTTAAGGGTCTAACCTAAGAATATCGCCAGTGTGTAACTTTAAAATGTGACGTTTAACTCATCCTTCCTTCCCTGCCTCCATATTTTCCTTTACTGTTTCCCTCCCTCTCCTCGTTCTCTCCCACCCTTTCATCATACTTCCATCTCTCCCTTCCCTCCCTCTCTTCCTTCCTGCGCCGGCCCCTTCCTCAAACAGCAAATTGAGGGTCACCTTGTTGAATTATTCCCGTCAGCTGTTCCTCCACACCCGACACTACATGAAGTCAACAAATTTAGCAGTGAATAAATTATATCAAATGCAGTACTGAAAAAAAACAACAATTAGGGCGTTAGTGACTAGTGCTTGGCCGATTTATGTGGGCCAGGGTCCGAGGAAAATTTATGTCAGTCAGTCAGTCAATCAGTCAGTTAGTCAGTCAAACAAGAAAGACGTACATATGGCTAACTGAAGCAGAAGAAAATAATAAAGTAATCAATAAACAACTAATCAACATATACCTAAGAGAGAAACAATTATACAGAAACAAATGTAAACTAATCATTAACCTAACCTAACCTAACCTAACCTATACGTGTCCCCATACACTCATGTCCCACACTATACCCGCAACATAGACGCCCATGTCCAAAAATCGCACACACCCATATCCACATTTCCGTCTAAATAATTCTCTCTCTCTATCTCTCTCTCTCTCACCTGAATCCATTAGGCAGAGTCTTGTTCGAACGCCAGTGAGGAGGAAGAACCGAACACACCACGTTTGGGGCGCCCGTTCGGATCAAGTCTCCCGCCGGCTCGCCACACATGCCGCCCATCAGCTCCGCCCACGCTCGCTCGCCCACACCGAAACCGCCCACACTCACAAAATCGCCCATGGTGACGTCAGGGAACATGGCGATGGAACCCCTGTCTTGTGGGTGGTGGTAGGTGGTGGGGTGGTGGTAGAGGGGTAGGTGGTAGTGGGTGGTAGGTGCCCCGAGAGTAACAGGTAATGTGAGAGAGACAAGAAGAAAGTAAGAGGAAAGGGAGGGGAAAGAGATGGAATGGTATATGAAATAGGTAAAGGAGAACTAAGGATTATTTTCTTGATAATTTTCTTCCTTTCATCGTCTTGTGATTTTCTTAACTTGCAATTTCTCTCAATTATCTTTCTATTTTATTAGTGTTCTTCTTCTTTCTTCATTCCAGTATTTATTATTTATTTTCTTTACGATTTTCTTGTGTTTTGATGTCAAGTAATAAAGTTATTATTCTCAGTTTGTCTTGATAAAATGAGAAGTTTCTTGATTATAATATACGGATTTTCTTCATTATTTCTTCATTGTGTTTATTGTCTTTATCAAATTCACCTGTGTTTTGAAATTGTCTTTACTCGTGTTTTGAGATTTTCTTATCTTGATCACAGTTTCAATCAATTAATCTTGTGGATTTTTACTAATCACTACAAAACAGTCTGGTAGTTTAATCACTGCTAACTACCACTTTACTTGTAATTACCACGAAATATTTTACCTCTAATTGCTTATTCAGTAAATACACTTTTTATTTAACGTTTATAGTGTATTAAGTTCCACCCATTTTAGCACACCAACAAATTATTCTTTACTTAGTTTTTATATTTAGTGTTGTCAAGTTACTAAGAATATAAAAATACAATTGTTTAATTTCTCACTAAAAAAATTATCTAAAATATCACAACTGTTTTTGTTATATTAGTATTGTTAGCCCCGCGGTAAGGTCTGTCACAACACCGCTTGACCCAGCTGATCACACGTCAACAAGTTATGACGTCACCGGGCCGGCTCAACACATCCCTCTCCTCTTCACACACAGACACACACACACACACACGTACACACACAAGTGCTCACGTCCGCGGCCGCAACTCTCACCACCTGCGGCTGTCGGTGACTGACGTGGGCTTCTTGTGGCCCTGCGGTCTCCCACTCCAGCCGTAACCACGCCCCTTCTGACCCTGACTCCTCCCACCTCTCCGCAAACCAACTTCAGCAAAACTATTCAAATATTTAATCTCACCTCCCTAAATCATTACTTATAACCTAATCCTCTTTAAAGATAGGCTATAGATAGGAGTAATATGATAACAAATAAACAAATATATAATACGGAAAGAATAAAATACTAAGCTTAAATTGGAGTAAGTTGCAACTCACCACTCGTTGACCAATAAACAAACAGTGTGGTGCCTTGACTCCGCCCACGTCCTCACCACTATCCCACATAACCCCGTCGACCACGTGGAGAAGAGGAGGAGGAGGAGGACGGAGGTGGATGAAGGAGGTGTGAAGAGGAAGAGGAGATTGAGAGAGAAGACAAGAAGTTAAAACACACAGTAAATGCAAACAAACAAACACAAACAGTATAACTTATATATCCACCCACATGTTTCCTCTGTTTGTCACCGTACTGGACGTTATGTTATCTGTGTATATTAATTCTTTCATAATTGATTAGGGAATGTCTCTCGATAAACCGATTATTATTGTTATTAGTATTAGTAGTATTATTAGTAGTATTAGTATTAGTAGTATTATTACAAACACAGTGACCATATGTAAAGAAACAAACAAAATAAAAAAACACACACATAGATTTATACAAACAAACACATACAGTAGTGAACTCATACTATATGTGCACAATACAGACGTGCAAACAAATACACACAAACAAATACACATACATAGATAAACAAACACAGTACATGATTATATGGTAAACCGAGATACATAATATAATGTATGCATACAAACAAGCACATACACATACACACACACACACACACACACACACACACACACACACACACACACTAAGAAAAATATACTACAGAGACACACAGAAAAAAGCAAAGACAAACATTAAGGTGTAGAAGCTGTCACCAACACAACAACCACACCCTGTGTTAACGAGCAGCATAACTCAGTGTCAAGGAATAGTCCAAGAAGACCGGACAACTCGACAACTGCACTGGCTAACCAATTACCCCGGAACAAGATCAGCAACATCCAGGTTCCCAATTACTGCTAACCTAACCTAACCAAGGCTATCAGGTTAGGTTGGTCCAATTCACCACCCCCTCCACCCCTTCGTCCCCCCCCCCTTTCCCCCACTAGAGCAAGATCCGCCTCTGTGGTAGCGGGTGTCGGTGTGTCCGGGTTGGAGGGGGGGGGGGGGTGTTGGGGTGCGGTGCCCTTTGGTGGTGAGGGCATCAAAGGGGGAGAGCGGCAGGGCAGAACTAACACCAACAAACACACGACATCGTAACCTTCCCCCCCCTCAGTAAACAAAATGGCGGCACTCGCGGCCCATTTTTGGCTTTCCCGCGCTTTTTTTTATTTTTTTTTAACGAGTAACGGTTTTCCCGCCTCTTGAACTGGTTGAAGCTGTGTCCGAATCCTTCCTTCAAAACACCACACCAATCAATATAAATTTTCCTAGTGTTCGGCATTAAACCAACCAATAACAAATAAACAAAATACTAGAATTATACATATCATAACACCCTTGAATAATATAATAAAAAGATAATTATTATAACATACACTACAATCGATTCATGAAGCCGAAGTCAGTGCCGAAAATTACGAACGAGGGACTGAGGTAAAACGTTCAATAAACAAGAAAATATTCAAGCTTATGGGGAAGACTCAAGACAAAATGGCGACAAGGTTCTTATATTTCAACGAAGATAACGTGAAGAATACTTGTTTTGTTTACCTTGTTTATAGGTAAAGCATTATGGGAGGTTGTTTGTTTGTTTATGAATGTTACCTGTTGTTGTTTACACTTAGTCTTTAGTCTTACCTGTTGTTGTTGTTGTCTACAGGAAAGGTCAATGTTTAAGGTCACAGCACAAGGTTAACAGCAACAGGTCACATTAACAGGAACAGGTCACATTAACAGGAACAGGTCACATTAACAGGAACAGGTCACATTAACAGCGACAGGTCAAGTTAACAGCAACAGGTCAAGTTAACAGCTACAGGTCAAGTTAACAGCTACAGGTCAAGTTAACAGCAACAGGTCAAGTTAACAGCAACAGGTCAAGTTAACAGCAACAGGTCAAGTTAACAGCAACAGGTCAAGATAACAGCTACAGGTCAAGTTAACAGCAACAGGTCAATTTAACAGCAACAGGTCAAGTTAACAGCACAAGACAAGTTAACAGCAACAGGTCAATTTAACAGCAACAGGTCAAGTTAACAGCACAAGACGAAGTTAACAGCATAAGGATAAGTTAACAGCATAAGATCAAGTTAACAGCATGAAGCCCAGTGAGTCAGTAGACACACTCGTTCTCACAGCTGTAGTCAGGGAGGAGGTGTCAGTAAATTAACTTAGAATCCTTTAAGAATCCAACTTTCCGTCATAAAAGGAATTAATTTAGTAGCTTTCACACATTTCAAGTCTATAATATTGAGACAAATTTACCTGATGAACCTTTGAGAATCATTGAGAATCTTTGAGAATCTTTGAGAATCTGTGAGAATCTTTGAGAATCTTTGAGAATCTTTGAGAATCTTTGAGAATCTAACTTTCCGCCGTTAAGAGAGGTTTTCCCTTATACTTTCTCACCCGGACGTAAGAGCTGTCTACACTGCAAGTCGGCTACACAACAAAGCTGGTAATTCCTACAAGAACGTCGATAACTCATTTGCATATTAGTTTAACGAGGACTGTGTGAGGTATTGACCAGGTGAGTAATGTAACCACCTAACGCGCACAGACAGACAGACAGACAGACAGACATAGTGATGACCAAGTTTCAAGGTCTGGGTCTGTGGTCATGGATTTTTACTAAGACCTGTCCAGACCTGAAATATATGTATCAATTTCCAGGTCTGATTGGGGGAGGGGGAGGGGGAGGGGGGGTTCAACAGGTTAAGTTTGAGTTCAGGTCTGGAAGCTAACTCACCTCCTCCACCCCCCCTACCCTCCCTACCCTGGGTCATCCACCATAAAGATCTTCCTGTGGGCCATGGGTCAGTTTTCTTAGACCAGGTAAACCCATGTAACAGGTGTGAGTAATTAAGTTTATTTACCAGAATAGATCCAAGTTTCCCTCACTGTTCTATCTGTCACTGATCACTGTAACTATACCTGCCTCTAGTACTCAGGTAGATCATGTACTCATTAACCCTGTAGTTGAAGAATTTATCTGGAGAATTTCTAAGTACATAGTAAGTTGTTTGGTGCTTGTGGTGAGGGTACTAATGAGCCATAGTGCGTGATGTTCGTCCCACTGATGCTTTCGTTTATGAGAAAAAAAAAAGACTTATTTACACTATAATTCCAGAACGCTGAAGTGGAGTGAATATATTTGTTGTGTGTTCACTTCTGACCCACATATCTGAAGTGACTCTTTATGGTATACCTGTGACTGTGTCCCTTTGGTCTGGCATTCCCCTGTAAAGTCCTCCTTACTTGTGTAGTGTTTTGTTCAATATTATAGCAACTTTGACGATTTATTTCACGTTATTTATGTCTATGTTGCAAGCCGATTAATACCTGACGATGGTTACTCACACAGCAGAAACAGCACCGACCTACTACCGCACGCGGGGATCAACACCTCCTCCTATAGTGACCACATGCGGGAGAACAACGTTATATAAATTACTGCAAGCGGAAGATGTCGCCTCAGCTCCCTCCCTTCCTTTAAATCATCTTTTAAAAATATCTATTGTCTAAGTATTAATATTTCTTGTAATACCTACTTTATATTCCTGCTATAATTGTACCACCAAAACCATTATATCATAAACTGTCACGTAGATTGATACAAATTACCATTACAATAATTATATATTTGCCGTCAAGACATGATGCTGACAGCTTCTGTCCTCTTGTTCCACCTTAATACAACCCATGTTGTACTGCTTCCCTCCCTTATCATATTAATGTATATCAACTCCACTGTAAAATATATATATACTGATAATGTAAATGTAAATAAAATAAAATAAATAAATAATTAAATATCGAAGAGATATCCATGGTAACATTATGAGATGTTCTTATTACCACCATGCTATTGTACTATTCCAGATGATACTAAGTGTTACATAATACTTCCTTGAGATAAATGTACAGTATATATCAGGTGCAGCTCAGGTTCTCAACTGGCTCAGCCATGTTAATATTGTTATTATTATCCACTCTGTATCTGTGTTCTTCTGGCCAAATAAACTGTTGCAATTCAATTCATTCCATAAGCAGGAGAACCAGACTCCTTCCAACGATCGCATGCGGGATAACCACCAGTGACCGCATGCGGGTGAATGGGCCTCAGTTAAATCACCACATGCAGGGAACCAACCCCCTAACTTAAGTGACCGCATGCGGAAGGGCAAGAGCCATAAGAGGTGCGGTGGGGGGAGGAGAGAGGGGCAGAGAAAGTGAGAGGGGAGTTTGTGGTGTGTGTGTGTGTGTCTTAACCCCTCCCCTAGGGTCTCAACAATCACCTCCAATTACCTGCTGGTTATCACCTACTTACTCTCCCCCCTTCCCTACCCCTTCCTCCTCCCCCTCCCTTACCCACTTCCTTAAACCCCCCCCTATGCATTCCCCCCATCCCCTCCCTCTTACCCTGGGTTCCCATTCCTCCCCCTCCCTTCCCCCTCTCCTCTATACTCCTTTCTTCTCCCCCTCCCTCCCCCATGGCCATCACAGTAACCACCTCACTGTCCAATCGATTAATAAGGGCGGAATATAACGAGAGTATAACACGGTACCGACCAAGTATACTCCGTGTTACCTCACCCCTGAATAATATGGTATACGATATGTCTTTAGTAATGAGAATATGTCTAGGGGTTATATTATATCTGTCTAAGTATACCACATTCTAAAGAAATATTG